TTTTTTGGTAAGAATTGCATAATTATTAATTGTAGAAAAAAAAGAGTTGAAATGATTGATAGTTTGAGCAAAATTACGCGATTTGGTACAGTAAGTAAGTGACGTTTTTTTTACTGGTTAATTGAGATTATAATTTTTAATAATTCTTTTGTATTAAATTTTTTTGAAAGATTCAAACATTAATTTGCTGTTGTCTACAGTTTCGTATACTGTTTAACAGAGTTCTTGCATATTTTTGAATCGAGAAAAAAAACTTTATCGTTTTTAGGTTTGACTTATCAAAATGGTTAAATGTGAAAAAGTGGTTTACAGTTTCACTAAAAAGACGTAGTTTAGTAAGTGCTTTTTTCTTCTGTAAATTCAAAGCTATAAAGTTAGAATATTTTTTTCTGTCTTGCTCATTTTGAGATATCAAATTTGTGTAAGATTTTCGTTTCTTTTATCGTCGCCTTTTTCATCTACTAATTACGCTCTTTGTTTTCTTCATTTAGACCGTAACTGTCTTTGGCTGCCGTATATTAACAATGGACAAATTCCCAAGTTCAGTAAGGAATTTGAGAGAATTGCCTAAAAGCGTATACAGAGCATTCCGAAAGGACCCAAATACCCGTTGTACGCTTGTCTTAGCACTGAATGTGACGTAAGAATTTGCTGAAATTCATTCGATTGGTTTACACATAAAAAGACATGTCACAGTTACATAAAACTGGTGTAGTATGATCGTTTTACAAAGTTTCAGCAGACAAAAGGTAAAATAAGAGGCTTTCAGCCATCATGAAGGGTAAATTCCTCCTCGAGCCTTAGAAGTTTGGCAGCACTTTTCTTTTAAAAAAGAAGCAGCTGTTCTTCGGTTGATATTGCTTCTGTTGTTATTGTTGTTGTTGCTTTCCACGCAAATTGTGAACTCTAATAGTTGCAGAGTGTTTACCTCCTTCTACGCTTATTTGTTTTCTCGAAGTGTTTTGACGGCTTGTAAGTATCGCCAAGCCGTTATTATGTCCAAAGATTTGGAGAGAGCGCACCCATCTCGGCCACAAAATGTCACCGCACTAAATCTTTCAAACTACAACAAAACAAATATTCGCCACAA